AATCTTAACAGCAGAGCTGTTAGTTTAATGAAGAAACACAAACAACAGAGAATGGTAGAAAGAGGTAGGCAGGAAGTCTAGGGCTAATGCTTGAAGATGTCCCACGGCAGGGATGGAGTCGTGTCCAAGAGCAGAATCAGGGTAGGGCTGAAAGTAGCTCCCCCAAATGTCGTGCTGGGAGTTATGCCTTCCACTGTATCATCTACGCCATTCAGGCCACGGCATGTGCATTTCAGTGTCCACTGAGAATGGCACTTACCACTGCCAAAACTGTAAACATAACAGAAGGGTTCAAGTGAAAACGTGTGGAGGCCATAACTCAAAGAAAACAATATTGGGAAGTGGCTGAGTTAGGAAAAAACTTTGGGAAGGTACTTCAAGTCCATTTTTACCAAAATGAAATGTCTTTCTTTTTTTAGCAAGATGATTTCTTCATTGTCTGTATAAGTTTATAGATTGTGACTGGATTCTAAATTGATGAAATATGAGGTTTTCACTCTAACCCCCTAAGCCTCTGTGCTGTATATGGAATGCCTGCTGCTTAGGCCATCCTCTGATCCCCTCCCCTATCACTCACCTCCCTTCATCTCACCCCACCCCATGATCTAAGCACTCATTATTCCTTTTTGCAATAACAGGTTCGTTTGTCAGCCCCTCTCCCCTTACTGCTGGACCATAAGTCCCATGAGCTCAGGCAAGTACTGCACCTTGTTCACCATTAAATTCCCAGTGCCTTCCAGGTTGTGCCATTCACTTGATAAGCACTCAGAAGTGTTTGTCAAATGAATACACATGCAGATGAATTTTGTAGATGAGTGATGAATAAAGGAAACATTATAAAAATTTATTCCTCCTCTTCTGAACATGCTGAATTGGTATTTACTTTTATTTAATACTATTTATCTACTGAGTATTATCTTTATATCTCTCCCAACCACCACTTAGAACATTTAGAAATACTTATTTTCTTGGAAAGGAAATGCACTGGCATTTTAAACTGGATATATATTCAGTATGTTCAGCTTTATCCCACTTGGCAATTAAAACTTTTACATAAATTCATAAAGTTATCTTCCTGACACCATGAGTATGAGCACAATAAATATTTACCCATATTTGCTGATTCCTGAGAACACATTTAAGACCTAAATATAGACTAACATCCTGAGGAAGCATTTTTTATAGAAATTCATAGACCAAGTAATAGTCTACTTGGTAAGACTTCTGATAGCAAAGCTCCTCTTTCTTGAATTTATACTGCCAGAAAAACATGAGGCAACAGAAGTAAAATTTAAATAGGGCCTAGCCAGACTTCTTTCAAAAATATCCCATTAGAAGAAGCTTTTTGCTTTGTTACTAAGCCAAGCTTCTATCATGTCAGTGCACCGGTCAGTCCATTAGGTCTACTGCTTTCTAGTACTGGAACAATATTTCAGTTCAGGTTCATTTTTTCCCTGTTTTTTTTTGATGTACATTTTAATCTACATGTTACTGATTTATGTAAGGTATATGTTTCTATTCCTAATTTATGAATATACACCATAATCATGTATTTCTCTGGAAATATCCATGTCTTTCTATTTCCTTCTTTTTTTGTTTTGTAAGACCTCAGATTTTGATTCCTTCATAAACTATACTGCTTAGACAGGTCTGCCTTGGACCCCATCCAGTAATGTTTTGAATATTACTAAAAATGATCATTAAACTGTCACCAGTATACCATTTTATGTATAGCATGTGTGACTAAAGTGATCCTTGGAGAGCATTAGATCAAAGTTCCTGGGTTGAGGTATTGAAATTTAATCAAACATGGTCTTTGATTCCTCATTTTGCATAATTCAATTAAATACCTGTCTTAATCTGAAACTTAATGTAGGACTCTAATAAGATTTATTTCCTTCCGAATAAAGCTGAGGAGTATCTGCACTGTTTAACAATCCTGACAGACATTTTTTCATTTTCATTCGAGGGGGAATAATTAAGAAAGTGAGTTACATAATTGACCTGCCCGTTACATGCAGAGGTCACAGCCTCCGGGCCTGCCCACACCTCTGTGGCTTAACCACAGGTCTCACCAGAGAAGCCCACTTAGCTTTGGCGTTTGCTTGCTTTAGATTCCTCAGATTTAATAAAAGGGTCTTGTATTTTAATAGAATTTCCCTGATGTTATTTGGCTTGGGAATCTGGGTCACAAGCAAGAAGCTGCACGGCATTCAAGAATCTTCCTAACCCATCTAGTTGGTTTTAACTGTACGAGTTTAGCACTAACAGATTTGATTTGTTACTTCTGATCATGCCTCTCTTCCTAAATTGTGAATTGTGATGAATATTTCCTCAATACTACATTTTATAAAGCCAAACTAGGTTTGCTCTGTTAGAGATTTTGGAGTTTAGCAGCCTGGTTTAGTCTAAAATGTTATACCAGTTGCACTTTTTTTTTTCTGTTTCTCATCATCATGATTATGATCCTTTCTTTGTTCCTCTCTGCTAAAGATTCCAATTCTGTTCTTACCTCCACAACTTTGCTTATCTGTAAACAGATCACAGGACTTCATCTCCTTTCATTTTTTTCTAAACTCCCACATTCTCCAAAAGCTAGCTTGTCAGTATCACCTTTTTGATGAAAACATTCCCAATTTATTGGTCATACCAACCTTGTTCCACTCTATCTCTGAAAGCATCTGTTGTGTTCCCTACTCATTTAGTAGAATTTGATTATCTGTCTATCACTTTTTTGAGCAGCTAACATCCAAATTCTAATAGGCATGTAACATACATTATTTTATTCTTGCAGTTTGGCAAGGCAGGAATTATTTTCTCCATTAAATCAGGAAACTAAGGTCAAGAGAATTTAAGAAACTGCCCAAGGATTCAGCCTGGGTTGCTTTGTGATTGTCAGACTCTACAGAGCCATGGTGCCTTCCTTTCACTGTAACACTCAGCCACGCATCCCAGATTACCTAGTATTATTTTTTGGTTATTTACCAAGTATAAGACATAAAAAAATGTATGTTTGTAGTAAGTATTCAATGTGAACCAAACAAATGAAATAAATGAGCCCTATATTTGTAAATAGAGTTGTGTTTTTATTAAAGAGAATTTGATTTATACAAGTCCAGCTCCTTAAGATTGTATGGCTTCTGATGACTTAATCTAACAAACTATGTCTTGATTTAGTCAACTCTTTAATATTTTTTCTAATTTCTCATAATTTATCTCTATTTCCCTTCTGTTTTCTCACGGCTCCTCATTCCAGAGAGCAGATTCTTTTGGGTGGCAATTGAGCAGCATTTTTCCTCTGTAGTTTTCCTTGAGCCTTCCCAAGAAATGTTTCTGTGTATATTCCTGAAATGGTTATTTATACGTATGTCTTTAAGAATGTAGTCTTAATAATGTCTTTCCTATTCTGTAATGATTCAGCAGAACTGAGAAATGTTAATTCAGTTCTTTAATTGCTATGCTATTCATCTTAAAGACATATTTGAAAGTCAAGCTTTATGTTGTCTAGTTTAGCCCTTTATTTCAGATCTGTTACTCAATATATTCCATCTGGCAGTCAACAAGAGCACATTCATTCTCTAGACGCTCCAGTGTGTCAGGCTCTGTACTAGGGAACCCACAGACAAACAAGCCATAGACTCTGCCCTTAAGACCACTTTTGCTACTGAAACAGAAGAGGATGTCTCTCTCTCAAGCATCTCATAACCATCTCTCCAAAACCTGGTCCTGATTTGGGTTGTAAAATTTATAGAATTATAAACTTAAATCATAGCTGAGAAACCATCTTATTTTGCTGAATCAGGAAACTGAGGGCCAGAGAAGAGGTTAAATGACTATTTAGAAGTCACATAGCAAGATTGAAATCCAGATTTTCCAACTCCCAATCTGATATCCTTTCTCCAGCCTTTGTCCCATTAGTTTGTCATCTTCCTTCCCCCATCTCATATACAGGATGGTCTGGACCAAAGGCCTAAAATTAGGCAAGGACTCCATTATAGTTAGTTGTTTCCATCCATCGAAAGTGAAAGCATAGGTTCTTATATTTAAATTGGGAATTGGACTATATAAGGAAAGGCCATCTTGGAAATATGTAAGAACATGCTCAAGTCACATACTCATATATCTCATCCATCTTGGCTTGCTGAATTGACACTTGGAAAACACAACCAGGTAGTAATTATGTCTTTGTGGTTGTGCTGCATTGACATGCATAGTCTTACAGCAAAACAAAATTCTCTGACCTCATGGAGCTTACATTCTAGAGGAGGAAATAAAACAAATTAGTAAGCTTTATAGTATGTCAGATGGTGATAAGTGCTCTGCACCAAAAGAAAAAGAGGACAACTATAAGGATCTAAGAGAAGGAACAAGGAGACTAGTTAGGAGACCACTGCAGCAGTGCAGATGCGGGAGGATGGCTGTCAGATCACAGACATCAGCGGAATGAGGCAAGTGGTCATCTTCAGATTATATTTGAAGGCAGATCCAACAGGACTAACCAGCAGATTGGATACTGGGCAGGAGAGTGAGAGAAAAGTCAAGGTTGACTATCAGACTTTTGGAATGAGAGACCAGAAGGATAGAGTTGCCATGTACTCCAGTGAGTCATGAGTTCAGCAGTGTCATCATTGTATGTGGGTTCTGGAAATACTAGATAAATGAGAAAGGAATTTCTCCCTCAAAGTGCCTCCAGTCTAGTAGACAAGACAAATAATACATGCACATAATTATAATATTTCTTGGTTATTATGATAGGAGGCCTCAGCAAAGTGCTGTGAAAGCACATAGAGAAAAGTTATCTCTATCCAGCCACATGAGAAAAGACCTGCAAAGCAGAAGTTACATCTGAACCTGGTCTATCATTCTTCTTGAGTTTGGCCTTACAAGTTTAGAAAGGCAAATTACATTATATTCACAGGATTAGAACAATTAGAGTAAACCAGGCTGGCAGTAATTTTTGGTTCCATTTCATACCACAGTTATGCATGACTGACCAGAAAGGAAAGTCAAAATCAAGGACTGTTTCTAACCTAGGCCCCTCTCTCTCTATGTATAGACCATATTTATATAGACCAAGTATATCTATGTGTATTTATACATACATATTATTTTCCATTGCAGGAGCCTTCTTCCTTTATGCTGGATTCGCTGCCGTGGGACTCCTTTTCATCTATGGCTGTCTTCCTGAGACCAAAGGGAAAAAATTAGAGGAAATTGAATCACTCTTTGACAACAGGCTATGTACATGTGGCGCTTCAGATTCTGATGAAGGGAGATACAGTGAATATATTCGGGTGAAGGGAAGTAACTATCATCTTTCTGACAACGATGCTTCTGATGTGGAATAAATTTCAGCTGCTGATATATTTAGTCATTTAAACAAACTTGGGGGAGAAGAGCAGCAATGGATGACCTCACTGCCCTGCTTCTAATCTGGTTCTTTCCACAGTCTAGTTTGGAATGACTTCATATTCTAGAATATTTGATTAGGAGGAAGATACAACCATGATGACATTGTTTTTTTCACAAGCAGAAATGTAAAAAAATATTTACGGAGATTTTAAACTAATAATTATTGAGCAAATATGTGCAATTCCTTCCTGAGGTAGTCTAAAATGAATACTGTATCCAGTGACTTCAGTGGTATCCTTTTTTCCTAAGACCATATATAATTATTAGTGGCAGTTGAGTCAGTGCTGATCTAGCCAAATCATAATATGTATGATATACTTATAAAGAAGGATTCTGGGATATGATCCAAGGGAGTTTTCTGTCAAAACATGGCCTATTGGCCCTAAATTTCCTAAGGACAAGTAGCTTATCTGTGA